GTAATAAACATCTTTCATAGTAGCTACTTGTTATTTATAGTACTGTGTCCTTGCTCGGGAATATTCCTAGTGCTAACTAGGGAATGTTATAAAAAATATTTGTGAGTTTTAAGTTTAAATTTAACCCCCCCACACTTCTGGGGATTGAATTTGGGGCATTAGGTTTGTTCCACTGCTAACATATACCCGCATAATTTGGTGGGTTTTTTTTTTGTTAGTAACTTATTTTGAGAATTCCATATGGAAGAACTGTATATCATTTCTACTCTCTCTCCCTATTCCAGCCCTTCCTCTGCACACCACTCCCTCTCAAATTCATGACGTCTTTATTAATTATTATTGTTACTTATATGTACGTGAACATATACATCATGTACCACCTACTGAGTCTATTTAGTGTTGCTCCTATGTGCATGTGTTTAGGGTGACTACTTGGGATTGGATAACCTATCAGGGAGTTCATTCTTGGAGAAACCTGATTCTATTTCTCATAGGAGCCAGTGATTGCCTCTGACTCTTCATCTAGAGGTAGGGTCTTGGGAAACTTCCCCTGTCTATGTTGACATGCCAGCTGGTAAGGTCGCCATGTTTATGCAACCATTTCATTGAGATTTCATGGGTATAGCATCCCGACATATTTAGAAGACACTATTGTTGCAGAATATTTAACTATGCAAAGATGGGTTACATTTGTTTAACTATGAAAAGCTGTGTTGCATTTGTTTAATTATGTAAAGATGTGTTGCTTTTTACCTTCCCTGCCTAAGGCATCTGATTATCTAATAAAAAGCTTGCCCAATAGCAAGGGCAGAGGTATAGGAAGAACTTCCGGGCAGGGAGAGTAAGTAGGAGGAGGAATTTAGGCTGGGGGAAGAAAGAAGAGGAGATGACTGGGAGATACCACAGGCCAGCAAGCCAGCCACAGAGGAAGCAGCAAAGTAGGGCACCCAGAATGAAAGAAAGGTCAAAAGCTCCGAGGCAAAATGTAGATGAATAGAAACAGGTTAAGTTCAATTAAAAGAGCTAGTGGGCCAAGCATTCATAATTAATAATATGTCTCTGTGTCTTTATTAGGGAGCTGATTGGTGACCCAAAGAAAATTCCAACTACACACTGTTTCATAGGTAGCTAGTGTCCTGGTTCTCTGGTTGTTCGAATTCTTCCTCTTCCTTTTCTACAATAATCCCCGAGCCTTAGGTGTAAGGGTAATGTGGATGTCCCGGTTGGGGTTGGTTTCTGCATGGTCATTTATTATTTGCATTTGACCAGTAGTGGATCTCTGTAGTAGCCTCATCTGCTGCAAAAATGAAGCTTTTTTGGTGAGGGTGAAAATTAAATCTGTGGGTAAAAGGATAAGTTTTTAGATTACAGTCAGAAATTCTATTGGTTTAGGAAAATGCATTAGTGGGTTCTCTAGGGTCTGTGACCTCTCTAGGCACATGTAGTTGGCTAGGTTTACAGCACCAGACTTGACTTCCTACCTGTTGAATAGGCTTTAGTTTTTTTTTTTTTATAAACACCACCATTGTTCAATTATACTTGTGTATACCTCTCTGCCAAAGGCAAGCAATTGCCCAATTGGCTCCTTTTCTTCCTTGTGTACCTGCAGTGAGTTAAAGAGTTCTGCTCTGTACCAAACTGGATGCAGTATTGGAGAACCCCTGTGTGAAAATGGAGTCACTTAGATAAGGCAGTCCAGAGCAAGGTAGCTGTTAAGCTGAGGCAGAGTCGGCCATGTAGGTAGTGGGGTCATTCATCACTGCACAGGTTCTAAATGGAGTGGAATTATGAGCCATGGCCTATGTGACCTCGTGAAGATAGAATCACTTTTCCCCTATGAATGTGTAGATTTGGGCAGTGGGTTGTTCACACGGTTTGGCTTGATTGTAGAAATATAAATTTAATTATCTGCACAAGTCAGTAGCGTGTGTGTGGAGCTCCTGTTTGGTTTTCTTTTTCTTTACCTAATGTTGCACATTAGGATTTATTATTGCTATTATTTGGTTGTTTGAAACAGGGTTTCTCTGTGTAACAGCTAGGGTTTCCTAGCTGTCCTGGAATTGGCTTTGTAGAGCAGGCTGGCCTTGAACTCAGAGATCTGCCTGCCTCTGCCTCCTGTGTTCTGATATTAAAGGTGTGTGCCACCACGCCCGGTTTAGGAGTGATTCTTACCTCAGGGCAGTGCTTCCTCAGGCATGCTGACTACAGTGTGCATTTTCCTCTTTGGAGGAGAATTACCCTCTTCACTGACATCTCTTTTACAAAGCCTGCAGAACATCTATTTGTCACATGGCATTTTGCTTTCAGTGTTTAGTGGGAATATTTTCCTGACACCACATAAGTCTAAAGGCTTCTCCTGTCCTCAAGCCTTCAGAGTGTAAAACATTAAGAGTTGGTGCACCCCTAAGCTTCTGTGCTGTGCACACACTGTTTTGTTGGCAAACTGATGGAGTAGTTGGGAGGTGAGAACACCTGGGAAGAGAGAAGCCTGGCCTGCTGTCCTGGGTGACTTTCTGCACATCAGCTAAGCATAGGAAGAGAGGCCCTGGAGGGCTAGAAGCACCCTGGGAGGTTTCTGAAGAAGTGAGGAGGGTTCTTCTCATTATAGGGAGGAGGAAAGGACTTCCCAGAACCAAATAGCTGGTAGACTGGAGCTGGCATTCTAAGCCAGCCCTGGCTGGTTTGGAAGACTTTCCCTACTGTGTGTGCTCTCTTCTTGTTACTGCGCGTTTACAGATCGTAACCCCAGTGGTGGGTGGAAAGGAAAGTGAGTTCGCAGTGCCCCTGAGTGCGGGTGGTAGAGCCAGGTTTGCAGGTACACTGCGCTTTAAAATGTTGTGCATTTTAAAGAATTCCTTTTCTGATTGGGATGTAGCTCCGTGGTAAGAATGCTTGCCTAGTATGCATAAGGCACAGAGTTCAATTCTCAGCACTGTTGTGTCCTGGGAATTAATTTTTAAATGTCTTCTGTTTTGTCATTCATGGTGTTATAGTGACAAATGTTCCTGTTCCTGTTGGTAAATGTTTCCTCTTTGTGGGAGTGTTAATAATGAAAGAAGGTTATATACACTTCTCTTAGAAACTGTATTTCGGCAATAGATAAAACGTTTAGTTACAAAAGTTAGTTTAGAAGAAAAATTATTTAATAAGACATTGAATTAGGACACACATAAGATTTCCGGGTGCTGAGACTCATCTGCATTGCTTGCTGCTGCCCCTGAGCCTATGTGAACAGTTCCTGCCCAGAGCGAGGGCTCAGATGCATTAAACAACTTCAGGAAGACCTCATCCCTTTGCTTTCTTCTCTTCGTGCGTTTCTGTTTCTCTGTTCACGGTTTCTCAGGTTCTTCCATGAGAGGGTTTTTTTTTTTTTTTTTGGTTTTTCGAGACAGGGTTTCTCTGTGGCTTTGGAGCCTGTCCTGGAACTAGCTCTGTAGACCAGGCTCACAGAATTCACAGAGATCCGCCTGCCTCTGCCTCCCGAGTGCTGGGATTAAAGGCGTGTGCCACCATCGCCCGGCCCATGAGAGGTTTTTGAGAATTTTTTTTTAAAATGTTATTCTGTTGTTTAGTTTTAGTTTTGACTTGGTACTATCATCAGTTTCTGAATGGTTATTATCTTAAATTATTCACTTGAATGTGCATAATTTCATTTGGAAAGTATTACAAAATGTTAGAGTGTTGTTTTGGGACAAAATACTGCTATCAACTTTTGCTGGTATCTTAATTTTCCTAATTGTAGCAAGATTGATCTAGATTAAGGGTTAACAATTGAGGTGTCTTGAAACTAAGAAGGGGATCCTGAGAAGGGAGGAGAGACCCTTAGGGAGGGGAAGAGGAGAGCAATGGAGATACACTTGATAAGATGGGGAGAGGGGAGTACCCCGGGGAAGGAAGGGAAGCAACTGGAGAAGGTTGGGGCCATAGGGAGAGCAGCGAGGCAGCAGCACATGTGTGTGGAAGCACTCTGGTGAAACCTAGTATTTGTATGCTAACCGAAAAAGGTATTATTTTTTAATGAAAGGAAATAAAAGGTAAAGCCACTCATGGGTAGGATGAATGGTGAGTGGAGAAGGCAGGTGCCTGTAGGAGCAGGCAGGTGGTGGGAGCGAGTGAGCTGGGCAGGGGACATTGAGGAGTTCTAGGGCTCTGGTCACTAATATTTCATTGACGATTTTCATGCTATCCTCTAATGAACTTTGTGCATTAATGGATAAATTTGACCAGAGACAGACGTGTGTGACTTTTACCTAATAGTTCTTAAAGCTGACTGTACTTAAGCATTACCTATGGAGCACTTCAAAAAAAACAGATGCCCAGATCCTCCTCTTCTCAGTTAAGGTTAAGCGCTTCCCAGTGCTCCTAATGAGCAGTCAGGCTGGGGTGACTAATTGGGTCCTGACTAGGGTGCTTTCCACACCTGGCTTCCAGAGACAAGCGAATGCTTGTTTAGAAACAGCCAGTGCACACTGAGGAAGGATGGCATCCTTTCAGACAGATAAACAAGCCCTTTCTTCATAATGAGCCTTAATGAAGGTTGTTGTTGGGATGGCCACCCAGGGCCAAATGTGCATTAAAGTGTGCCCCTTATGCCAAGTAGTCCCATGTACCACTGGACACTCTTTCCCTCAAACTGTCCCTTTGGTTCCCTGGTTCTAGTGAAGTTTCTGCCTGCGCTCTGTTTGAGGACCGACTTATTTAAGTTTCATTGTAGGTGAATTTCCTCAGGATGCCCCCTTTAAGAAAGCATTTTGTCTGAAGTTAGGGCATCTAATATTGAGCATGCTTTACAGCTATATTCTCCTATGTTTAAACAGTGCTCTGTAATGTGAGTTTTAAGAAGATGAGAGCCTCCCCACCCAGCTCCCGCCTTTTTGCTTGCTTAGGTTGTCAAATCTGCATTTGGCTGGACTGTGGCTTTTTGGGTGACGGTGGGCAAGTCTTAAGAGTTGCACCTCTGTCTCACCCCTTCTTTCTCTGCCCTCTCCTTTCTTCCACAGTGTTTACTGTCACAGCCAAAGTTCTGGGCCATTCAGACATCAGCCTTGATCCTCCGGACAAAGCTCGAGCGGGGAAGCACACGGCGAGTGGAACGGGCAATGAGGCAGACACAGGTACCGTGGTGGCCGTCTCTCCCTCTGTTGCTGTAGTGTGTGCATGAGGCACTTGCAGGGACGAGATGCTTATCTTCCACTCACGTTTTGTTGTTACTTAGGTTACAGGCTCTAGAATTTGATTTGACTGCAAAGTTCAGCTTTGTCACTTTACTTTGTAGCTGTGACCTCAGCGTTTAACCTGTGTAACCCTGCATCTCATTTTATATCGATGTTGGCTTCAAACTCACTATGCACCTTCCAAATGCTGGGATTGGCATGGGATGTCAGGCCCAGCTTGGATTTTGAATCTTGTTTTTGGTGACAGATGGTGAGAACGTGCTGTGTGCTTTGCCTGGGGAGCACAGATTTAGAAGCAGAGAGATGCTACTGTTTCTCCTTAGGCCGTGCAGGGTCGCCTCATCTTCTCATCCCGCGCCACATTAGTAAGAAAGCTGTATATTTCTATTGAGGGACAGCACTGTGGAGCTGTTGGTGCTGCCTCTGCAGAGCAGTACTTTGGGGGGGGGGTGTCTTTTTATTCTCTATTTCCTGAATTTTGGAAATTAGATCATGTGACAGGATGAATCCCTGTTTGTCTAATTTTCTGTCTTTGTTGAGCCCCTTAGCTCACACCCTGAACTTTTGCCAGTTCCTCTGATTCATAGTGTGGTGCTTCAGTGTTTGTTAAAACGACTACATCTCTCAAGAGTAAGGGAATGACTTAAAATAACAACTGGATATATAAAACCAAGGGTTTTTTAAAATTAAAAATTTTAATTTCTGTAAAGATTGGTTTCCTTCCAACACTGTGCAGTGCTAAATGATGAACTGTTAAAGTTGGGGGGGATGGCGGGGGACCGGAAGGGGCTCCAAGGGAGAGCTCAGTCATGCCTGCTGAGGGACTCCAGGTGTGCTCACAGTCCATGTGGGCTGTAACTTAGTGATAAGCGGTTACATTGAGGGCTCCAGTGACAGGCCCTGTGTCATGGTGAATTTTTAAATGATAGATACCAAAGTTAAGAAGAAAATGCTGCATCATACATGAAGGTAGATAACCAAAGATTCTAAAAGCCACAAGAAAGAGGAAATTACAAACTCAGGAGAAGCCGTTAAAAACAATCTAGTCCATGAAATCTTCTAGGCTGAGTGTTGTTGCCTATGCAGGTTAAGAGTGAGGTCAGATCATGCTGGGGAAATCTACAGAGACAACTGAGCCAAGCTCTTGGGAAGTCACAAACTCTAGACCCACAGCTGTGGAGCCTGTATGGGACTGAACTAGGCCCTCTGCATGTGGGAGACAGTTGTGTAGCTTCGTCTATCTGAGGGGCTCCTGGCAATGGGCCAGGATCTATTCCTGATGCATGAGCTGACTTTTTGGGGCCCATTCCTGTGGTGGGAGGCCATGCTCAGCCTTGATGCAGGGCTTGGTTCTGCCTCAACTTAATGTGCCAGACTTTGTTGATTCCCCATGGAAGGCCTTACCCTTTGAGAGGAGTGGATAGGGGTGCCCTGAGGGAGAGGTGAGGAGGGTGGGAGGAGGGGTATGGTTGAGTGTAAAATGAAATTATAAAAGAGTGTAGGTGAGGATAAAGTCAGTGCTTGTGGAAGCCCTGTTCACTGTAACACTTAGGTTTCTAGCTGAGTATATCAAAGCTCTGATGGTTTGAATGAGAGCGGCCCTCATAGGGTCATATATTTGAATGCTTAGTCACCGCAGAGTGCTCTATTTGAAAGGATTAGAAGGATTAGGAGGTGTGACCTTATTGGAGTTAGTTGCTGGGGGATGGACTTCAAGGTTTTAAAGCCCTGTCAAGCCCAGAGTCTCTCAGCACACAGAACAGGCTGTGGTTCTCAGCTGTTGTTCCAGTGTCTGCTTGAATGCTGTCATGCTTCCTGCCGTGACGACAGGGACTAAACCTCTGAAAGTGTAGGCAAGACCCAGTTACATGCTTTCTCTTACAACAGTTGCCTTGGTCACAGTAGAACAGTGACTGAGATGGTAGTCATACTGTCTCTTTAAAAAAAAAGTATAGCTTTTCCTATTGTCATTCAGCTTTCTCAGCCTTATCAGAATAAAATCTTTTTGAGATATTTCTTGACTTTTTGTTTTTTATTTTGAAAACTATTCATATCCCAAGTCCATTTTTTGAATAGGTTGTTTTATTTTTTTAAGGTTCTTTATATATTCTGGATTTTAGTCCTCTGTCAGATGATAGCTGGCAGAGATAGTCTTCTTCTCTGTGGGCTTCCTCTATTCTTGCTTGTTTCTTTATCTGTGCAGAAGAATTAGTTTAATGAGGTCCCATTTGCCAATTGCTGGCCTCAATTCCTGGTCAAATGGGTCCTATTCAGAAAACCCTTTCCTAGGCCTCTATCCTGTAGGGTTCGGCCTGTCCTATAGGGTTTTCTTCTAGCAGCTGCAGCGTGTCACAATTAGGTCTTTCATCTGTTTTGAGTGTTTTTGTACGAGGTCACAGATGTAGGCTAATTTCACTCTTCTGCATGTGGATGTTCAGTTCTTGTACCATATGTTGAAGATTCTGCCCTTTCTCCAGTTTTTGTTTTTGACATCTTTGTCAAGTTTTGGATGGCCATAATTATGAGTACTCAGCTATGAGTCCTCAGTCGTATTCCACACAGCTTCATGTGGTAACTGTTGAGCGATTCTAGCCCATGGAAGCACAGTTCCTTTGCAGTCCCTCAGACCTTCTGAAGTTTAAAGGGACCCGAAGTCAGAAAGTTTTAGGAGTACTGACCCAAGACGTGACTAGGGAAGGGGAGGTCAGTGTGGTCACTCGGCTTCCTCAAGGCTGCCTCTGTTGGTTTGTCTTCACTGTGGACGCTGAAGAGAAGCCCTCGCTCTCAGGATCCCGTTAACTGCAGCAGCTGAGATCCCAGTTCCCTTTAACCGCAGTGGCTGAGCATGTTACTGCCTATGGCAGGTCCTGATTCCTGTGTTGGGGGTTTGAGTGCCGTAAAGAATGGTCAGATACTGGTCTCAGTGTTTCTTCAGCAAGAAGCTGCTTTTCATTTCACAGTCTGGTCATTGTCGTTGTGGGGATGAGATAAGACGTAGAAGCTGCCAGCGCGGCTCCTCTGCTCCAGTCCTGGGACTTTGACCTGGATTTTATTTCTCACAGGTGCCATTTGCTAATTATTATGTAATTCTGGTTCAGCATAGGCTTAAGTTTATTGAAGCTTAATAAATTTTAATTCTATTTCTTCATAGTGTGGGGAATTTTATTCTTGAGAGTCTGAGGTGGCAGTCTGTTTGACTGATCGATTTGTAAGCCACTGTCCACTTCAGGCTCCTGTCAGAAAGAAAGCTCTTTACCCAATTGTTGATATGTTTGCTTAAGTGCATATTTTAATTTTTTAATAAGTCCTGTCACACATACATGTACACACATACATGTACAAAGATTGCACAGCAAAGCTGATCAAAGGTGACCTGGCAGGTGATGAGTCAGCCCTTTCAGATTGTCAGCTCGCCCTCAGCAGCCCCAGACACTTTGATATACTTCTAGTGAGAATGAATTGCTGTCGGTGAAAGGGAAGGCCCTTTGGGACCAGCTGCTCCTTTGAAGATGTATGGCTGTACTCTCAGATGTAAGCACACTGTGTCTGAATCATACCAGACCTTGTGCAGAATTGTCCTGCATACTAAATCATCCTCTGGGTAACTGGAACTTCAGTCTTGATCTTCTGGAGGGTTTTCTGGGAAATTCTTTCCTTAAAAAAAAGGCACCAAAAGGAAGAGACACGTCTTTACATTTGGAGGTTTCACCCTCCTATACCCATTCCATAGAGATACCCTCTGACTCATGAAACTGCAGCTTCTGGAGATGTGGGCATTGTTATCGTGGGGGCTTGGGAGCTCCATATGCACAAATACTTCGCTTTTAGAGTCAGTTTAGGAGAAATGACCTTAAAACGAAGTTTTAAAACTTGAAAACAAGCCAGTTCTAGTGGTATGTTTCTGTATTCCTGGCATTTGGGAAGCTGAGTTGGGAGATCTGCCAGGGTTACCTCTGAGTGAGGGGGAGACCCCACCTTTGGACACCTGGCTTTGCTAACAATTAACTAACTTACCTTAAATGTCTGAAATAAAACGAAGTTCTTGGGGACTGAAGGTATGGCTCAGTGGTTAAGAGCACCAGTTGCTCTTACAAAGGACCTGGGTTTGATTTCTTGCCCCCACATGGTGGTTCACAACCATCTGTAACCCTAGTTTCAAGGGATCTGATGCCCTCTGAACTCTGCAGGCACTGGGCACACAAGTGGTGCACACAAATCCATGAAATGCAAAACCACTTGGGCATAGTCTCTTAAAGGCTATTGGCCAAAGGAGCTCCCACAGCACCACATAAATAAAATAAAGCTACACAAATTAAGATTATTTTTAAAACAACAACAAACCCACCAAAGCTTTCTTGAGAAAGCCATCCTTATAAATTTGCTGGAAGTGCAAGAATTATTTTAAAAATCCTTTCAAGGATGAATGCCTCTGGTTAAAGGATCACTTCCTTGTGGGTAGACCTGGAAGAGAACTCAGGTCATTGTAAATGTCAGCCCTGCTTTTCCTATTTTCTGTGCCTGTGAGAACTCCAGTCTGTTTGACTATGGTAGCATTTTTTCAGAACTTGCTAGAAATGAGCTTGCTCTGAAAAAATCTAGTCACCCACTGCTGCCAGCGACGTACCTTGGCTCAGAGATCCACACCTTCCTGTGTAATACCTCCAGCTGGAGACCAAGTGTTCAGATGCATGAGTCTGTGGAGGATGTTTCGCATCAAACCATAACAGGCTTTTGTTAGGATGTGTTTGTAAATTAGCAAATAAAAAGAGAATACTTTGAACTCAGTGGAGAGAATAGCAGTGTACCACTGCCCGTTTTTGTGTATTAGTTTAATGTTCTTAGTTTTACTGGTAGCTAAACCTTACTTAGGTGATTGTCATGCTTAAGACAGCAAGAAGTATACACTTGTAGGAGAGTAGAGGATAGCTGTTAAATTAATCTCTACCCATGTGGAACCAATTCAGCTTTTGTAGGGTGCTCACTTAAGTGGTTCTCAACCTGTGGGTGGGTTGTGACCCCATAGGTTGTATCTCAGATATTCTGCATATCAGATATTTACATTATGATTCATAGCAGTAGCAGAACTACAGTGATGGAGTAGCAGCAAAATAATTTTATGGTTGGGGTCATCACAGCATGAGGAATTGTATTAAAGGGTCACAGCATTAGGACGGTTGAGAGCCCCTGCTCTAGACAGTTCCATGCATGTTGGCTCTGTTATCCCATTTGGTGTACTTGGCTCTTTCAGAGAGCACCCAAGCCCATCAGACACAGATACCTATGTTGCCCAGAAGCATCTGAAATGTACAAACAATTATTATTAAGTCAAGAACAGCTTACTGAGTACTTAATGTTATTTAGTCATATCATCAAACAACATGGATTTTGTTGAAAATAAAATTTCACATGTAACTAGGGTTTGGTAAATTGTATGATATTTCTTTTAAATTTTAGATTATTAAGTAAAAGCTATTTTTTTTTCTTTTTGAAAATGTGGTATGTTGGTTTAAAAAAATGCCTTTCTTTTCATGAAGGAATTCTATGATCTTTATTTATGTATTGTGACCATATGTCTTCAGCCAGAAGTTGCTCTTCGTTCTTTGCCCTTCCTCCCTCAGTGAAATAGCCCTGGCTAGAGGCATGCAACCTTTTTGCTATTAAGTTTCTGTGAAGCTAGGCCAGGGAGCTTTGTCAAGATGGTTGAGGAGTGTGGTTATGTCTCAATTTGTTCGGACTGACTTTGATTGAATAGAATCTTGGGCTGTCCAAGGAGTTTGTTCTGACATGTGAACTCATTCTGTGACTTACTGAACCAAGTGGTTCTCCTCCCTCACACATGGCAGAGAAAGAACCACAGCTTCAGGCTGTTGTGCCAATTAGGAACTGGCCCATGTTTAGCTCTGTGGTACTTACTGTTCTCCTCTCTGTAATAAAATACCCAACTAAGCAACTTTATTTTGTCTCCCCGTTGGGGAGATTTTAGTTGATCCCGGCAGGGAAAGCGTGGTGAGAACAACTCAGTCTGTGTTGGTGGTAGTGACTGTTTCTCGTGGCCACCCAGGGTGCAGAGAATTCTAGATCAGACTTAAAGGCAGACATAACCTTCCAAAGTCACTCCTGGCCACCTGCTGCGTGCTCGCACGCTCTTCGTTCAAAGGTTCTGAAACCTTCCAATATTGCACTTCATAGCTGGGGACTAAGTGTCTTTTTGAGCCTTTGGGGCTCGAAATCAAATCATGGCAGGATTTTATCAGGTTAGATTCCTGTCCTTACCTTTCTTCTAAGGAAGTTTATTCTTGATTCTTAATTTTATTTTTAATTTTGTAAAAAAATGAAACAACTTGAAAGCAGATACTAGTAACAGCCTTCCATATCTTGACGTGTCAGAGTGTGTTGTTACATGCTGCTTTGCCAGCATCCTCAAGTACAGGAAAGACCTTGTCCCTCACCACAGCTTCCTATGTTTGAATCAGAAAATTAAGAAGGACATGTTAATAATAACTCGATCATTATATGAAAAAAGGTCACAATAATTCACAACTGAAATTCTGATGCCAAGCCTGGCAGGGTGGGGCACACCTCTAATCCCATCACTCAGGAGGCAGAGGCAAATGGATCTCTTGAGTTTGAGACCAGCCTGGTCTACAGACTGAGTTCCAGGATAGCAAGGGCTACACAGAGAAACCCTGTCTTGAAGCCTCTCCCAGGAAAAGTCTGTAGTTAGTCCAAACCTACTGACAAATCAGAGGCAGGCAGATGGCCGTGGTAATGGGGCTGTCCATGTGTTTGTCTGGGATTCTAGACTATGTCTGAATTCAAGTTGACATTTTTTTTTAAAGATTTATTTATTATGTATACAACATTCCTTCCATGTATGCTTGCCAGAAGAGGGCACCAGATATCATTATAGATGGCTGTGAGCTACCATGTGGTTGCTGGGAATTGAACTCAGGACCTCTGGAAGAGCAGTCAGTGCTCTTAACCTCTGAGCCATCTCTCCAGCTCCTCAAGTTGACATTTTGTATGTGAGCTTTTTTTGATGACTAGTCACTTGATGACTATATAGTGCCAACTTTTGACTCTGCAGTTGGCTCAGGTTCCTTTTTCCAGAGAGCCATCCTGGTCATCTCATCTGCTTCTTGCTGTGTCTCTGGGAGCTGTTTTTCATTACCAGATTGGGAATTTCAGGCCATCACAGGAATTCAGTTATGTGGCTTGCAGTGCCCACTGCACTGCACAGATGGTCTTGTGTGAGTGGATGCCCACCCTTACACCTCCTTTGCTGAGGGATGAGAGCACCTGTTTGTGATTGGATAGAGCTGCTTTTTCTCATTTCACATGGTTGCTTCTCAGTGTCAAAACAGCATCACATTGGAGATAAGTACAATAAAGAACACTTTTTCTTAGAAAAAAATGAAAATTTTTAGTGAGAAGACTGGATCTTTGAAAGATTTATTATAGGAAATTTTAATTTAAAATTTTCCTGGTAATATTTAAATATGAATGTTTAAAAACTTGATTAAATTTCAAGTTTTTAAAATACTTAAACTCAAAAAAAAAAAAACCAAACTTCATACAGCCTTTTGCCTTGACCAAATGACTGGAGTTCTTTATTTATATGTGTATTTTAATGATTTTTATAATCATTAAATTTTACATTAAAATTATTATACATATAGACTGTGATTATGGTATGTGTTCTTAGGCTCTTGCAGACCAATTTGAAGACAAAACTACATCTGTACTGGAACGTCTGAAGATTTTCTATTGCTGTCAGGTACCTCCTCATTGGGCTATTCAGGTACTTTTGTTTGTCTTCATTTTTAACTATTTTAGTGAAATCAGTAAAAGCACTTGGGGAGTTCCAGTTGTTTTAAATTGCTGTTTTGATTAAAATGGTAATGGATTTAAAAACGTTTTGAAATGGTTTTAAATTGGTAGTAGGTAGGATCTTAGAATTTAAGATAGAAGAATCATAAATGCTTTTGTTTTTCTTTTCATGAATTTAAGTTCTTTAAGAAAAGGTTTTAATACAGAATTAAGTAGAGGTGTTGAGTCGGGGAGTGAGTGTGCTGGTTAGGAATGTGCTCGGGCTTCTCGGGAGAGTTGTCTGCCTGCTTTCACTTTCAAAAGGACGTTTTATAGTAACCGTTTAAAGATTTATTTTTTTATTAAGAGTGAGTATACGTGTGTGTGTGTGTGTGTGTGTGTGCGCGTGCAGATGATCATGGAAGGTAAAAGAGAGTGTCCAGAGCTGGGGTTGTAGGTGCTTGTGAGCCAATTGACGTGAGGCAGGGAACTGAACCGTCTGGGTCTTGGAAGATCAAGAAGTGCCTGTTAACTGCTGAGCCATCTTTCAAGCCCAGCATCTTATATTCAAATATCTTCAAGGCTTTTCTACGAAACGATAAACCTTTGAGCCTTTTAACAGTGTTTACAAAAGCAAATAAAAGGAAAGCATTTATTTGACACTTTATGTTTTGCAATATCCCCAACTGTTCTCCTTCCAGGGTGCAAGGGTGACTGGGGGAGCTCCTAAAGCCCCAGACTGAGCTAGCATGCAGCCTTTGTCCTGTGATTCTTAAGTGGGAGCTGAATTTCAAAGAGCAGTAAAGATGTATTCAAAGAGAAAACAACGCAGAGACCACCGACCTGAAACCAGACCTATTCCAAAACATCATTTCTTTATTTTCTTATAATATTTTTTCCATTCCTGTAGGATGGGCAACTTAAAACATATTCTACCTATTGTTGAGTGTATTGTTTACTGGCCGCACCTACTTTGCTTGCTCATCTTGATCTTCTAGGGCCTGTGGAATTGTCTAAAACAAGTAGGACTGTGAGATAGAGCCTGAGATGCCCTCATGTGGAAAGAGGAAGCACGGAGGCTTTAATGGTGCCTGCATTGCTCCTCAGAGCTTTAAACACTGGTCTGTGGGATGTGACTTTTTCAAATCAGAGCTTCTCATGGAAGGAATTTTTAGATGAGAAGGAAATAATTGACTTTTTCTTTTTTGAGTTCTGAAATCTTAAAAATCTGATGCATTGAGTATTTTGATCAGTTTCTATTTTGTTTTCAGTACTTCATTGCCTGTAAAAAAGCTTACCGAAGTAAGTGTGGTTCTCACAGATTCCTGGGTAGTGGACGTTGAGTTTTGTAAATGATGTTTGTATTACAATGAGCAGCCCTTTAAAAGGCAGGTTGGAGTTACTGGGCAAGATGGATTTGCTTTCCTGTCGAGGAGTATTGATGACGCTCATTTGTCTTTCTAGCGCCAGCTTGCAGGTTTGCTCTTTGAGTTGGGATGTACCACTTCAGCCCTTCAGATATTTGAGAAGCTGGAGATGTGGGAAGACGTGGTCATCTGTTATGAAAGGACTGGGCAGCATGGGAAGGTACGTGCAGGCATGTCTGTGTGTGGTGAGCCCCTTCTTCCTTCCGCACGTCTCCATTGCGCCTTAGAAAGCCCGCTTCTGACAGTGTTTACTCCAGTTCCTCCTTTCACTTGGGACTTTGCAGCATTTGCTCTGATTTATGTTGGGCAGCTTATTTTGTGTCTGTAAAGAGAAGAGCAGCCTGCAGTTGATATGATATTGGCATTTAAGAAAGAATAATAAAAGCTTTGAAGGTACTGCATGTTTTGATCGATTTTTCTATCGATTCTTCTATAGGACAGCTTTGAAGTAAACTACCAGGGATTAATTTTAACTGTCCTTGGCATGCTTGATGATTAGAGGCTGTGGACATGACAGAGTCATCTAGGAGGCTGAGTCTGTTTGAAAAGGTCTATGTGACCCCTGTATGAAGTGTGTGATGCAAATTTAACTCCACTCTTAAATTGGGTCAACAGAGAAAATGTACTGTTTGCATTTGTTATAAATCTGTTGTTTCTTCTCCTCATACGTGAACCATATGTTAAGACTTCTGTCTCCACATTGTGAGTAGCCATAAGACTGGATACACTGAAATCATATGTTGATAAAACAACTTATTTTTATTTTATGTGTATGAGTGTTTTATGTATATTCACCATGTATGTTCACCATGTGTGTGCTTGGTGCCCACAGAGGCCAGAAGAGGGTGTCAGATCCTCTGGACCTGGAGTTACAGGTGGTCATAAGCCCGTACATGTGGGTGCTGAGCTGAGGTCCTGTGCAAGAGCAGCAAGTGTTCTTAACTGCTGAGTCAACTCAGCCGCCCTTGCTTGTTGATTCTAATTGCACTTTATGTGACTAAGTAGAGCCCATAATGACTCCGATTTTCATGGTGGTTTTACTCTCACTTTTACCCTTTCTGTTGTTATGAAGATGAGGAACAGTGGTTCAAGTACACGATTTTCTTATATAGCTTCCCAATGTGAGTATTAAAGAACTGTGACGGTTACATGGATTGATCATTGACACTGACATGAATTGGTCAATGACAGTGAAGCTCTTTGAGTTGTTCAGTGTAGCGAGAAACCAGCAGTGTCACCAGGAGGTCCAAGGTCCCTTTCACAGGTTTTTAGTCTTTCAGATAAAAGAATTTGGAGCTGGCTTACTGTCTCTGCAGGTAAAAGAAAGCAATTGCCCATGCGAGCCTGGCAACCTGAGTTCCTCTGAACCCACATAAGACTGGGGAGCGAGCTACCGAAGTTATCCATTGACCTCCTCGTGCATACTCCCTCATGCATACATGTGCAATAATTAAATATCAACAAAGCATTGAAATGGACTCAGGAATACTCAAGGACACTTCTATTGGAGCTTGAGAATAGAAACCAGAGGAGGAGAATTGGAGATCTTAGCAGGTGTGGAGGAAGATGGAAAAGAGAAAATGTTAAACTTTTTAAGTTAGAGGTTGGGAAATCATGTATGGTGGGGCTGCTATCAGCTACAGATGGACCTCAAGTGGGGGTGGGGTCAGGGAGAGTCAGGTTGCCTGCAGAGTGAGAAGGAGCAGGGTTGGGATTCTGGCCAGTGCCTATAAAAGGGAAAGAAAATTATACTTTGTGAGTTAGAACTCAGAACAGCAGGTTTGGCAGGGAGTCAGCCAGCAACCACATTGACTGTGTGTGATGGTGGTGGTGGCTTCTGGGGTATCCAAGTAGTTATCTCGTTTAGGAGGTAGTTCTCAACATGGTGCCAGTGTCACCTCAGGTGTATCGTGATTATTTTTGTTTGACTCCAGACTGTCCTCTTGAGCTCATAAAGCAACATTTCACCCCCTAGAGGTTAAAGGAAAACTCCTATTGTCTACCTCAAAGGTATCAATCACTGGCTAAACCCTTTGTGAAGGAGGGTGCTGACTCTTGACCATGATATTTGTGTCAGATCACGTCACCATGTCTGTACTCAGGTGTCTCAAAGGGTCTTCATATGTGCAAACAGCCACCCTTGTGGAAAGGCAATCGTATGGCGGGAAGCTGGCATCGCTGCGTTGTGTCCCATAGTGCCTGTGAAGCAGCTAGCTGCAAATGGCCTTTCTTAGCACCCTTTCCCAGCAAAGCATTCTTTTTCAGCAGTACTCAAGGTTCTGTCAAGATTACATAATATCTTGACCCTGGAAAGAATGCCACTGCTATCCTCATTCCCTCCGACTCCACACCACAGAAGATTCCCTCTCCTTAGGACTCAGCTCGGGCTACAAAGTCTGCCACTGATCACCTGCTCAGGAGGCAGCGTGGATGATGGTTAAGGGCATCTTCTTGGGACAGCTGCCTGAATTCAGGTGTGCACTTGCTGTCATGCCAGCCTTGTGATGTTGAGCAGCTTGCTGTATCTACCATGTCTGTTTCCCTGTCTAGAAGCACACATCTGCCTGGCTTCTAGGTTTTCACATGGCAATGTGTATATCTGGAGTGGTACTTACCTAGCGTGCTTCGTGAGTGTTTGATGTGGTTCCAAGCGTGTACCTGTTTCATTTGGTATCTTTGAAGTGACAGCGTTATCTTCAGTCAGAGATGTCTTCCGATTTCAGTCAGTCCATTGACCAACCCATGAGGTGAGCCGTACTTGTGTCTGTGCAGGCTGGTTATAGTGTTCTCCATGTCACTATTTCAGTGGGATTAGCATGCCGTTTGTTGGGCTTAATTGCCATTTAAAATGAAAAGATGATCTCAGTATGGTTTAGCATCGAAATAAAAAACTGTTAAATTAAAACCAAAACCAAACAAACAAAAAAACCAAAGTAGAGAAATAAATTTGGAATTTGTGAAATAAACATTTGCCATTCATTGGTGAAGTTATCAGAATTTCACTGGCCTCCCTCCCTCCCTCCCTCCCTCCCTCCCTCCCTCCCTCCCTCCCTCCTTTCCTTCCTTGTTTTTTTGAGACAGGGTTTCTCTGTGTAGTCCTGGCTGTCCTAGAACTCGCTTTGTAGACCAGGCTGGTCTCAGACTCAGAGATTTAAACATTTCTTTAAAGTAATAACCAAATGCTTTGTGAGAACTTAAAGGGGAAGATCCTCAAAATAGATGAAGGCTAGGTGTGTTGGAGCACATCTTTAATCCCAGCACTCAGGAAGCAGATACAGATGGATCCCCGAGTTCGAGGCCAGCTTGGGCTACATACTAAGAACCTGTTAATTTTTTTTAAAAGTTTTTATTCATTTTACATACCAACTACAGTTCCCCCTCTCTCCCCTCCTCCTGCTCCCCCATCACCTACTCCCTCCCCCCATCCACTCCTCAGAAAGGGTAAGGCCTCCCATGGGGAGTCAACAAAGCCTGGCACATTCAATTGAGGCAGAACCAAACCCCTACTCCCTGTATTGAGGCTGAGCATGGCATCCCACTATATGGCCTCCAAAAAAGCCAGCTCAGTTACCAGGGATAGATCCTGGTCCCACATCAGACCAGGCCCACATGCAGAGGGCGTAGGAGGATCTCATGTTTTGTTTCAAACAAAACAAAACAAAACAAATCAAAAGTTGATAAAACTTTGTTTTGTACTAAACTATATAAACAGAGATTGCCATAGAAATGCCCACCAATGTTCTGAAGGCAGAAAGAATTGTTAAACTTTACTGAATAGATTCAGGGAAAAATCAGAGCAGCCAGAGGCTAGTGTGGATTATTCAAAGCATTAGGTCACATCAAAGCACTCTCCTCTTTCATTAAGAATTTGTCAATAATTTTTAGCATCTATTGTCTCAAATGTTTGTTTAAAGAAGGAATGAGTCATCACCTGGCGGTGGTGGTGGATGCCTTTAATCCCAGCAAAGGCAAGGGAGGAGCTCTGTGAATTCGAGGCCAGAATGGTCTGCAGAGCGAGTTCCAGGAAGTCTCCAAAGCTACACAGAGAAACCCTTTCTGGAAACCCACCTACTGTTGGACTCTAGCGTCCAAACACCGAGGAGGAGTCGCCCCCAGAGACCATCTCATACACCACAGCCGATGCAAAAGCATGAGAATTTTATTAATTCTGTCATGACAGGGTCCCCCAGCATTCGGGAAGCCGAGAGACCTCGAATAGCTGGTACAGTCTACTTTTAAAGGGGCCACAGAAGCAAGTGGGGTTGTTCTTTGACTATTCTGATTGGCTTATTTGAAAAGGCTATTACCAATAATTGACCGGAGAGCTCTTGCCAGATCAGATGAGGTAAGAGGTCATTTTGACCCCGTTTCCCAGGGGACCGAACCAAAACTTACGTATATGGGTAATTGTTCAGGAACTGAGTACGTGCGAGTGTAGCTGTTAGGTCCTTGGTTCCCAGGGGAGGAGGGGAAGCACTATGGCACGGAGGCTGAGAGGATTCAGAATTGTCAAAAATGGCTTCAGGATTGTTTTAAAGTCTTCCACTACCTCCCCAAAAAAGAAGGGATGAATGGGAGATTGAGTATCCTAGTTTCCAGTCTCATCATCTTACTGTGTAATTCTTTTACATTGGTTAATAAATAAATAACGGCTATAGGAAATAGTTACCTTTGAAATGGTAGTTTTCTAAGAATTATTATTATTATTATTTTATGTATATGTATATGTGTATACCATGTACATACCCGGAGTCTGTAGGGGCCAGAAGGCTTCGGATCCCCTGGTGTTAGAGACACTCATAGACTCCCATGTGCATGATGAGAACCACACCCAGTTCTCTGGAGGAACAGCCAGTGCTCTTTACCTCTAGCCCATCTCTCCAGATGATACAGTATTTTAGAAATTTGTTTTGAGTGTTTATTTTTTAAAAATTAAGCAAGTTGGTGAATCACAAATACCCAAAGCATGCTTGAAATAAAATATTAATCTAATTATTTTTAGAAAGCATGGGAAACTGAGGTGCCCTGATTGGGAGAAAAGCATACAATGCATCCATGCACATTAGGGAAGGCCTTGATGCTTCCCCTAATAACTGTAATATTACTGTTTCCAAGATTTTGTAAGAATTATCTTAATGATAAATGCCTCTGTTTCTAAATATTTTTAGAAATGTACATATTTTAATCTTTAGAAATGTAGTTATTTATTTTGTTATACATTTTTGTAACTTACTACTTAAAATATCATCTTGATTTTTTTAAAAAATTTTTTTAGATTTATTTTTTACTTTATGTGTAAGAATGTTTTGTTTGCCTGATTGCTTTTTGGGCTGACGAGGGAGGGGGGCTTTGTTGGGGGAGGGGGAGGGAAAGGGGAGGCGGCGGTGGGGAAGAGACAGAAATGTTTAATAAATAAATAAATAAATTTAAAAAAAAAAAAAAAGAATGTTTTGTTTGTGTCTATGAATGAACAGCACATGTGTGCCAGGTGCTTACAGAGGTCAGAAGGGGGTTTGGTTTGATCCCCTGGAACTAGAATTATGGATGCCTGTGAGCTACTGTGTGGTCTCTGGGAATTAAACCTAGTTCTCTTAAGAAGCAACAAGTGTTGTTAACTTCTGAACCATCTTACCATCACCCACACTATCTTGAGATTTAAAAATTGGTTTTATCAGTTTGTCTCTTAGAAACCTTGTTCTTTGTTTTTTTTTTTTTAAATATTTGTTTATGTTTATGTGAATTCACGTTTTGCTTGCGTGTGTGCGTGTGTGCGCGTGTGTGTGTGTGTGCGCGTGCCTGGTGCCTATGGAACCAGAAAAGAGTATTTGATCCCCTGGAACTAGAGTTACAGGTTGTTGTGAGCCTCTCTGTAAGTGTTGGGCACCAAACCCATGTCCTCTGCAAGAGCAGCAGGTGCCCTTAGCTGCTGAGCCCTCTCATCAGCTCCCCCATCCCTGCTTTTGTTATATTTTCAGATAAATTTAGCCATAGACCCTAAAAAAAATCTTGCTTCAAGTTGGAAGCAAGGGCTTTCTTTCTGGAAGTGTTGAGCTTCTGTCTTGACCATGTGCTGGTGGTTTTCACTAAATATTTGAAATTTTAATCCTTGTATTTTCTGCTTGATGGAATAATTAGTTTTTAAAAGGCTAATTTAGAGAAATGTCCTAGTCTAATTACTCTTGTGACACCCATGTTTACTCCTTGTCCTTCTAATTTAGAATACTGCTAGCAGACAGTCCTGCTATTTAATGGCTGTTGGCAAAACATCTAAGATTAATTTTGGTTGAGCTGGAATCAGAGCTGGTTCTCATCTGTTAGCATTAGTTTTTCAGATATTTGACTCATCTGTCAACTGGAGTTTCCTCCAGTTGATGGCACAATCTCATTTTGTTGAGCAAACCTAATTTGGTCTCTAAATAAGCAACAGTGGTGAGGCTAGAAGGTGAGAGTGTGGGGAGAAATAAGGACTGGTCCTCAGTTCCTTGTGGGAAGCCGGGTTTGCCTGAGGTCCTTTGTACTGCATTTTCTAGTGACGTAACCATGGATTCTTTCCATTTTAGGATACAAGTGACCGTGTTACTTTGAAGTTTAGTTTTTCCGGGGGGTGGGGTTCCAAGATAAGAGTTCCTTTATGGGATTGCCAGGTTCCTTTTAAGTCCTTTGCCAGAGCAGTGACTGACCACGGCAGTCCTGCCCACCAGTGACTCCCAGGACGGATAGTGAACGGTTACAGGTGCATCGTGCTCTGGCTGTTCCTCATGGCCTCATCCCTTGTATTCTCTTGTCTGTGTTACTCCCACGGCTCCAGGAAGATGACACTCCTGTACTCACCTGGCCTGGTGGCATGTTCTTAGTTCAGGTTCAGTGTTGATGCTCTTGTGTCTGGAGCTCTTGTCCCTCGTCGTAGCTACCTCTTGCTTGTTCTCTGGTTCTCCTTTGGTGTTTACAGAGCTTCTGGCCTCTGCTTCCTCTCCAGGTCTACATAGCCCTTCTCTCAATGTCTCAGTTCCCAAGACTACTCTACTATCCCATTCGCTGGCTCATTTCCTCTGCGCTGTCCACTCTGTCGTTTAGAGCTGTGTTCCCAGACACCATAGGCCCCACACAACAAATAGTTGAAAATGTACTAGGAAGCAAATACCCCGGTTGAACCCTCTTTATGGATGACTGACCATTTGTTCTCAATAGAGTACCCACCCCTACTTCTGCTTTAGCTTTAGAAATAGAAATGGGAACCTTTAGGAATTCCAGTTTTCACACAGTGATGTTAGATAATGCAGTTCCTAAGTGCTTCTCGTGGGTTATTCTTTACTTGCTTGGTCTGCAATTATTACATGCTACTTGTAAGAAACTACAAAATATGAATTGGTTTTGTCAGTTTGTCGTATTGGTTAGCGTCGGTAAATGGCAGATTTTGTCTCCTAAGAGCCATTTCTGCTAAAGCCTGTCTTTTCCCCACACCTGCCTGCCTTCATGGTTACTGTTGTTACTCTCTTAAAAATCAGAGATTAGGTTTTTAAGGCAAAGTAACTGAAAATGCTCCACAGCTGGGTAATACAAATAGGAGGTGACCAGCTAATCAGATAACTAGGCCTGTTTTAAATTACTCTGTTTTATCTTGGACTTGGAGTGTTTGTGTTGGCAACCACTCTTAGAACAACCCAGCCAGGGCCTGGTGTTGTCACACACATAAATATAAGAAGCAATTAGTGAGGAGCTGGCTCTGAGTGTGTGGCTGGGAGAAGCACCACACAGGTCGTGAGGCTGGGAGGGTCCAGCCAGACATGGAGCCTCTGTCTTTTCACCTCTTGGGTATGGCTCATGTGAGCATCTTCATCCTTGGGTCGGATGTAGAGCACCTTCCAGCAGGCAGTATCCATCTCTGAGAGCTAACTTACACAGTGAAATCAGCCACGTTTGTTCTCTGCTTCAGGGAGACAACTGGAATCAGAGGAAACTGTTGTGTGAATCCCTGCACATCACATGTGTACTGTTGCACCTGGACACTTGACATGACTCTTTAACTCAAGCCTGTTGCCAAAGGCCACCTCTTTTTATCTTTTTTTTGAGTTGTTAAAAAATTGTGCTCATATATATATATGTGATGTGTTCATGTGTGGTGCGCATGGATGTGCATGGAAACCATGCTGTGGGATAATGCTCTTGTGCACTGTAAAGATTTGTCATTCATTTTGGTTTAATAAATGCAGATTGGCCAGTAGCCAGTGAGGAAGTATAGATGGGGCAACCAGGTGAAGAGAATCCTTAGAAGAAGAAAGGCAGAGAGACAGAGGAAGCAAGATGAGAATGCCTTACCGAGAAAAGGTACCAAGCCATGTGGCTAAACATAGACAAAAATTATGGGTTAATTTAAGTTGTAAGAGCTAGTTATAATTAATATAAGCCTCTGTGTATTTCTTTGGGACTGAATGGCTGTGGGACTGGGTTGGACAGAAACTTCCATTTACAAAGCCAGAAGAGGGTACCAGATCCCCTGGAGTCACAGACAGTTGTAAGCTATGTGTCATGGGTACTAGGAGCTATACCCCAGACCTCTGCAAGAGCAAGCGCTCTTAACTGAGCCACTTCTCCAGCTCCTTAGTAGCACCATCTTCAATTCTTGACCTGTCTCTCTTCCATCCCCTTTTAGTTGGTTGTCTGTCATTTCTGTGGTCCTCAGAACCATCACAGTCTGTCTACGCTTGTCTCCCATCGTCAGTTTGTTGTTCTGCCAGTTCCTCTCATTGTGTGCTGACCAGATGCAAGGCCAGATGAGGCTTCAGTTCCTCCCATTAATCCACAGTAATCACAGCTCATAGCCAAAAAGACTGTTTGATAATTACTTCTGACTAAAGTATAGAGAGAAAAACCTGGAGTGTTTCCTCTCTTTTTTTCTTAGAGATTGAACTTAACTTTTATCCATGTTCCTTATCCCAAACTCAAGGCCCGTCAGGGTGTTGTCTAGGATTGAAGGAGTAGGGTAGGGCCTCTCCCTTCAGTCTCAGATCTCCCATTTAACAATTTAGAGCAACATACTGTTTGTTATAAATGTAAATGAACACTGAGGGCCCAGGTCGTGTGCTTGTCCTCCCTGTGGTCAGTTCTACCTGAACTACACTGGGAGTGGCAGAATTGGTTCCCAAAGTACTAGGAGTTTATGGTCTGGATTTGAAGTTGCAAGTTGACAGTTTGTGGGTGAATGTAGGCCAGCAAGATGTTTTGTCTGATTTTCACAGTGTTTGAAAAAAAAAAAATGAGAGTAAAAATTTAGGTTTTATCTTTTAGAAACTGTAGATTTTTTTGTCTTTCCTTAGAGACCCAAAAGATAAAAACAAAACAAACCAAAAAACCAAAACAACCCCTAAACCAAGAGCCAAAGCAAAATCCAACAACCAAAGGAAAGCGGGGTCCAAATCCTATGTGGTGTACTGTAGTGTGAATTCTAATTGGTCTTAATAATAAAAACCCAGAGTCAGATGTTAGGGGATGAAAACTGAAAGATCAGGGAAGCAGAGCAGCCAGCCACTTCTTACCTCTACGAAATCCTCAGACCGAATGGGGAATCCTCAGACTGAATGCTGTCTATGAAACCTCAGTCTGAATGCCTTGAGCTCCTGTCTCTTCCTACTTTATATTCCTCTCTCTGCACAACTGTATCACTTCCTGTCTCTTCTTCCCTGGTGCTGGGATTAAAGACGTGAGCCATCACTGCTTGGTGCTGTTTTTCTTTTAGACTGAGTCAATGTGTAGCCCAGGGTTGCCTTGAACTCACAGAGATCGTTTGCCTGTCTTCCGAGTGCTGGGATTAAAGGTGTGCACCACCACTCTGTGGCACTCTGATCTTCAGCCAACTTTGTTACTGCTCATACACAATATGTCTACAATGTACTAACTAGATAGTGAGGGTAGTGGGGTGGGTCTTTCCTTGGGAGGGTCACTTTACAGTCTCCCTTGACTGTGTCTCTGGGCATGTCACAGTGCCCCTTGGACTAAGCAGTATAGTTTCCCTATGTATTATTTTAACTTTAATTTCAGGTTCTGCTTAAGTCCTGGCTGTAAGTTTATGTTGAGATTCACTGTTTATATGTAATTTCATTAAGAAAAGTAATTGTGTGGTGTAAAAATAGAATAGATTAATAAGCATCCTTTGCATATGTGGGAATATAATTTTATCTTCTTTAATAGACATTTAAGTGACAA